TCCACAGTAAGAACAAAGAGGGGTTCTTACACCAGGAAAAGACTATATAAGGCTGATGCCTCATCTCCATCTGGTCTTCAATCCTGCTTCTTACCTCTGGAGGAACTTTGCTACAAACTGAAGCTTTGAACAAAGGACTGAGGACCCATCCCAGCGGGGGATGTATTCCAGAGACTTGATTTGAACCTGCAGTTTATTCCATTGCTGCTGCAAGCCTGAACCAAGAACTTTGCCAGTACTGTATGTAATTGATTCCATTTAACCAATTCTAACTCTCATCTCTATCTTTTTCCTTTTATGAATAAACCTTTAGATTTTAGATTCTAAAGGATTGGCAACAGCGTGATTTGTGGGTAAGATCTGATTTGTATATTGACCTGGGTCTGGGGCTTGGTCCTTTGGGATCAGGAGAACCTTTTTCTTTTACTGGAATATTGGTTTTCGTAACCATTTGTCCCCATAACGAGTGGCACTGGTGGTAATACTGGGAAACTGGAGTGTCTAAGGAAATTGCTTGTGAGACTTGCGGTGAGCCAGGGGGTGAGACCGAAGTTCCCTTAGTCTGGCTGGTTTGGTTTGCCTTAGAGGTGGAAAAACCCCAGCCTTGGGCTGTAACTGCCCTGTTTGAGCAATTTGTCCTGAGTTGGCGCTCTCAGTTGGGTTCCGCCAGAACCGCATTGTCACAAGGGGCTGTACTTTGTGAGTTACAGTCGCTCTGGTGCTGCTGAAAGCAGCCAGTTTGCAGCCCTGCAGCCGACCTGGCAGCCTTGTTCATGCCCAGCTCCGCAAGACACCCGTCCCCCACAGCCCCTGCCAATGTGCCCACCGGGGCCACCCTTAGGGGCGAACGGGGCAGTCGGATTGCATGGCTGTTCAGCCCTGGGGCACTGCACTGAGAGGGCCAGCAAGGGCGGACCCGTGTTCTCCGGGACGGCGGGTTTGGGATGTCACTCTCTGTGCATTAGGCAGTGCTTCATTTGTGCCAGGGCTTGGCAGGGCTGAGCCCCGGCACCTCCGGACCTGACAGGGCCGAGCCCCATCAGTTATGAATGTAAAATGTTGCTTGAGCCTGGCATCGGTTTCATTACAAATTAAACGCTGGTACTAGGAAGTGAGCTGCTGCCACCCCCACTGGGTTTTCCGCGCCGTGGGGAGGTCACTGAAGGGCCGGGGACACCGGTGACTCGGTCACTTCCCCCTGGAGCTGGAGTTTATTCAATATCAGAGGCTCTGTCCCACTGCCCAGCCAGCAGTGCTGGGTGCTCTGTCCTCGGGCACATCAAGGCCTGTTACCAGGCTAATGACACGGGGCGCCACCAGCAGGCGTGTCTGGCTCAGCCATGGGCCAGGTGAAAAGAAACGTCCGGACACCGATGCCCCTTAGCAGCTTTCTGGTGAGCGAGAGGGTCGAGGGACTCAGGGACACGCTACCCCAGGCGCTGTCCGTCACACCCCGTGGGATTCGTCGCCTGGCACTACCAGCCCTACAGCCTGCGGAGCCGGTGCAGGATGTGACCCCGGGGCCCACTCAGTCACACTGACCTGGCGACCACGAACCACAGCAGCAGGGTCCCTGCGGCCAGCAGCACCAGCACCACCAGCACTGCCATGGCTACCGCCAGGCCCCCGGGCTGGGGCGTCTGGGCCTCTCCTGCAAGCAACAGAACCAGAACCAGTGGGCACGTGATAGACTCCTGCCTAGTCGCTGAGCCGGGCCCCTGGCAGACCCACGGCACGCACAGTGCACAGCTGCCATGGGACTTCAGCCAAGCACCCAGGACAGACACTGGCACCTGCCGTTACCCTAGCTAGGGCAGGGACCCAGGTGTGACCCATACGGCCACTACCAGCCCTTTGAGACTGGGTCTGGGCCCCGCTGCACTAGGTGCTGCACGCACACATGCAGGGAGGCAGCCCCTGCCCCGAAGCGCTTGCACTGGAATAGACAAGGATGACGAGGGGGAGAGGGAGAGAAGTGAAGTGATTTGCCCGAGGTCACACAGACGGTCCGTGGCAGAGCTGGGCCGAAACCCAGTTCAATCTGTGTGCCAGGTGCAGCATGCAATGCATCACCTTGGCCCACACCACCAGGCTGAAACCAGTGCTGGGACGGGTGGTCTCTGTGGCACGACCGTCAGACCAAGCCTGAGCACAGCATGCTGGGACGGCTGGTCCCTGTGGGCAGCAGCTCCGTGTTCGAGTCGAGGGGGGCTGCAATCTGCCCCCTTGTGCCCAGCTGAGTGGCCTTGGGTTCCAGGTGATTTCCGCACTGCTGGGTGCCCAGGCTAAGTGCCACGGTGGGGCTGGCTCTACCCACCCCGGGGCCCTGACCTCGTCTGCCAGGTTCGGGGGTGAGCCGCCTGCCCCCAGCATGGCAGAGCCCGTTTGTCTGGGTCCAAGCTGGTTCTACTCTGCGGTAAACGAGAGTTCCTAGTAAAAGGAAGGGGGTGGAGGGGATTTCTCCCTGGCACTGGGTCAAAGCCAGGGCACAACGGGCTGCTTACCAACGGAGAAGTCATAGCGCACACAGCTGGATTTCTCCACCTATGGAAGAGACAGAGAGGGATGAGTCTGAAGTAGCCATTTCTATCAATGCCTTGTGATCCCTGAGATAAGGGCTCCAGGCACGGATCGCTGTGTGCTTCACAAACATCACTTCTAGGGCTGTCAAGCCATTAATCGCACTAGTTAAACAATAACAGAATACCTTTTATTTAAATATTTTTGGATGTTTTCTACATTTTCAAAACATTTATTTCAAGTACAACACAGAATACAAAGTGTACAGTGCTCACTTCATATTTATTTTTATTACAAATATTTGCACATAAAAAAACAAAAGAAATAGTATTTTTCAATTTACCTCATACAAGTACCACAATGCAATCTCTTTGTTATGAAAGTGCAACTTACAAATCTTGTTTTTTGTTACATAACTGCACTCAAAAACAAAACAATGTAAAACTTCAGAGCCTACAAGTCCACTCAGTCCTAATTCATGTTCAGCCAATCACTCAGACAAACAAGTTTGTTTACATTTGCAGGAGATAATGCTGCCCCCTTCTTGTTCATAATGTCACCTGAAAGAGAGAACAGGCGTTCGCGTGGCACTGTTGCAGCCGGCATTGCAAGATATTTACGTGCCAGATGCGCTAAAGAGTCATGTGTCCCTTCATGCTTCAACCACCATTCCAGGGGACATGCGTCCATGCTGATGACGGGTTCTGCTCGATAACTATCCAAAGCAGAGCAGACCGACGCATGTTCACTTTCATCATCTGAGTCAGATGCCACCAGCAGGAGGTTGATTTTCCTTTTTGGTGGTTCGGGTTCTGTAGTTTCCGCACCAGAGTGTTGCTCTTTTAAGACTTCTGAAAGCTCCACACCCCGTCCCGATCAGATTTTGGACAGCACGTCAGATTCTTAAACCTTGGGTCGAGTGCTGTAGCTATCTTTAGAAATCTCACATTGGTACCTTCTTTGTGTTTTGCCAAATCTGCAGTGAAATTGTTCTTAAAATGAACAACATGTGCTGGGTCAATCATCCGAGACTGCTATAACATGAAATAGATGGCAGAGTGCGGGTAAAAGAGCCGGAGACATACAATTCTCCCACAAGGAGTTCAGTCACAAATTTAATGAACGCATTTTTTTTTTAAACAAGCATCATCAGCAGGGAAGCATGTCCCCTGGAATGGTGGCCGAAGCATGCAGGGCATACGAATGTTTAGCATATCTGGCACGTAAATACCTTGCAATGCCGGCTACAGAAGTGCCATGCGAACGCCTGTTCTCACGTTCAGGTGATATTGTAAATAAGAAGCAGGCAGCATTATTTCCCGTAAATGTAAACAAACTTATTTGTCTTAGCAACTGGCTGAACAAGAAGTAGGACTGACTGGACTTATAGGCTCTAGAGTTTTACATTATTTTGTTTTTGAATGCAGGTTTTTTTGTACATAGTTCTACATTGCGGGGAGGGATAGCTCAGTGGTTTGAGCATTGGCCTGCTAAACCCAGGGTTGTGAGTTCAATCCTTGAGGGGGCCACTTAGGGATCTGGGGCAAAATCAGTACTTGGTCCTGCTAGTGAAGGCAGGGGGCTGGACTCAATGACCTTTCAAGGTCCCTTCCAGCTCTAGTAGATAGGATATCTCCATTAAAATTTAAAAAATGTGTAAGTTTAACTTTCATGATAAAGAGATTGCACTACAGTACTTGTATGAGGTGAACTGAAAAATACTATTTCTTTTGTTTATCATTTTTACAGTGCAAATATTTCTAATCAAAAATCATAATATAAAGTGAGCACTGTACACTTTGTATTCTGTGTTGTAATTGAAATCAATATATTTGAAAATGTAGAAAAACATCCAAAACTATTTAATAACTTTCAATTAGTATTCTATTGTTTAACAGTGCGATTAAAACTGTGATTAATCGTGATTAATTTTTTGAGTTAATCATGTGAGTTAACTGCGATTAATTGACAGCCTTAATCATCTCCCTGTAAGATATTGTCCTGACTTCATGGATGGGGAAACTGAGGCAGAGCCGGGCTCAGTGACTTTGCACCTGGATATTACAGGGCTTGGTGCCCTAAAATCCTAAAGCTTAGCTCAAATTAGAGAGAATAAATTCTATTACTTCAGCTTTGCCCAGGCCACACAGCAAACCATCAGCATGGCCTGAAAGAGAACCCAGGCGTCCTGGCTGCCAGTCTCTTGCTCTAACCATTAGACACACTCCCCGCACTGTCTCTGCCTGTGGATGGGCTCCCAAGGGCAAGTGTTGGAAGCCCCATCTCAGGAGTTAGCTTTGGGCTGGACAAATCCTAACAAAACGGACCAGTGGAGCTTGGGGGGTGGGCAAAGCATGGACCAGATGTGGCCCAACAGGCCGTTCTCAGCCTCCACAGTGCGAAGGGGCGGGAGCAGTATCCCACCCACAGGGGCCATCCCGCTGCACTGCTTGGAGACGGGCATGGGGTGGGCAGCCAGGTCCTCCCCGTCTCTGATACCCCAGCCTCGGCTGCCACCTCCCAGCCTGCCCCTGCAGCATGGGCAGCCCTGAGCGAAGCCGCTCCTGGCCTGGGAGGAGCCGAAGCCCAGGGGAGCGGTCAGCGTGCCAGGGGAATGGAGAGCTACCTGGTTCCAGCGGCTGACGACGCGGACGAAGGCCGTGTAGTTCCTGTGGGGGCGGAGGGGAGCATTGTAGTACCCGTAGTGACGGGTCCCGTCGCCCAGCACTAAGTCAGTCGGGCCTGTGAGGTTGTGCGCGGGGAGCACGGCAGCCAGGTACACGTCGTGCTCCAGGCTGGAGTTGAACGGCTGCAGACCTGGTGAGCGGCAGGCGTCTGCTTCGCTGCCGTTCTGCAGCGTAGATACAATGATCTGATACTCCCTGCAAGGGAGGAGTTAGCCAGACGGGGGGTGATGGGGAACTGAACGGGGCAGGGGAGGGGTGTGACGAAGTGGGACTGTTCTTAATGTTTCCTCTGAATACTGTGTGGGTGCCTCAGTTTCCCTTATGCATTTCTTAAGTCTCTAGGTGGTGGGGAGAGGCCAGTGTGCATAAATCACTGACACTCTGTCTCCCTGGCAACAAATGGCCAGGGCCCCTTCCCCTCCTGCAAGGAAATAGCTAAAGGTGAACAAAGAGATCAGGTGACCTCCTGGCCCAGGAAAGAGACAAAGCCCAGAGAAGGAGGGGCTGGAGGGGGTTTGAGAGTTGGAGCGACCTGGGGACTAGGAGTGAGAGCAGACGTGGGTGTCTGGCTCTCTGAACCCCAGAATGGACCCGGCTGAGGGGTCTCGTTTGCCGCTGTACCTACAAGCTCTGTTTTAGACCATGTTCCTGTCATCTAATAAACCTCTGTGTTACTGGCTGGCTGAGAGTCACGTCTGACTGCGAAGTGGGGGTGCAGGTCTTCTGGCTTCCCCAGGACCCCGCTTGGGCGGACTCGCTGTGGGAAGCGCACGGAGGGGCATATGCTGAATGCTCCCAGGAGAGACCCAGGAGGTGAAGCCGTGTGAGCTTCTTGCCCTGAAGACGGTCTGCTCCAAGGGAGAGGAGGCTCCCCAAAGTCCTGACTGGCTTTGTGGGGAGCAGTCCCAGAGCATCGCCCGGGGACTCCGTGACAAGGGGTTAACCAGACGGGGGCTGACGGGGAACAGGGGAACTGAACGGGACAGGGGAGGGGTTAGCCGAGACGGGGGCCGAGGGAACGTGAACGGGGCAGGGGAGGGGTTAGCCGCATGGGGGCTGAGGGGGAACAGGGGAACTGAACGGGGCAGGGGAGGGGTTAGCCGCATGGGGGCTGAGGGGGAACAGGGGAACTGAACGGGGC